CCTTCCATAGTGATTAATCAATGATTTGGGTGGGGCCCTCCCGTTCGAGTGATTCATCAATCATTTGGTGACCCCTCCCATCGCCAGCACCACTAGCATCGCCCACCATGGCATGACGTCTATTCACTGGTAGCCACAGCAATGCCGCAATGAGGTTGCGCAACACGGCTTCTGGGCAATGCGTGCACACGTGCGGTCTTTACAAAGCGTGTGCGGCTCTGGGACCACGGCGCTTACACATGAGAGCGTATACACACCATATTGCTCTACACAAACGAGCGTTGATGCAACAGAACCTCTACGCAAAGCCGTGTTGAAAAAACCTCACCACACCACATGCTGTAGCAACCTCTGCTCGCGACCCAGGCGACCCCGGCCACTCTTATGCGGCATTGGGCGGAGCGTGCGTGTGACACACGACCGCATTTGCGCAGCGTTTTGGCACCAGGCAGTTCTTGCACACCACAGCTCTTACGTACACCAGTGTTGACACACCTCCACGTGCGCCGCGCCACACCACATGTTGTGGCAGCCCTCCTCGCAACCCTCACCACTCTTATGCGGGGAGCGTGCGTGCGACTTACGACCGCATTTGTACGGCGCAGTTTTGGTGCAAAGCAGCTTTTACCAAACCACAGCTGTTACACAGCCCTGTTGCGTTTAGATACTGCGGCTTTCATGTATTCCTGGTGACTCTCTACCTTTGGTGTTTCCCTGTCTCAAGTGAATCTATCTGGATTTAAATGTCAAAGACTTCTAAGTGCTTCGACATACCTGTTTGGTCGGTCCTCGTTTTTCGGCAGGCAAATCAGTGGCATGAAATCCACGGTGCTGGTGATATCCCCAGCCCCCGCGGGGGGCATACCATGGCCTGGAGCAGCGCTGCTGGAGGTTTGTATGTGTTTGGAGGGTCTGGCGGGAGTGGCGTGGCTGCAAAGTGGAAGTCGAAGCAGGATGAGAATTGCCTTTTCTATTGATTGTGGAGCTGAGGCTATCGCTATCTAAATGACCTGTATCTCTATGTTGTTGAGGCAGAAGGGAAGCCAGGATTGAAACCGAGTGGTCGGCGTGGTTGGAGAAGTTTGGGTGAAAGCATGGTGTCCCAATTTGTGCTTGTTGAGTGAAATAGTTTAAGATAGTGTCAGATAGTAGCCTTCCCTCAACCTCGCCAGCGGAATCAGCTAGCCAGCCACCAACTAAAGTGGCTGGCTGCTGGCGGAATCAGCCAGCAGCCACATAGCAAATGACCCGCGGCTGGCGGATTCAGACGCCGGAGTCCTTGGCAGCTGTATAGAAATTGGCGGAATCCCAGTTAGGCGCCGAACCTGAGGGATTAATTCTGGGTACACTATAATCGTGGAAGTGGAGGGCATGGTTCCTAAGACCATTTTTCTCTACAAGCAGCTGGCACCATCCACTTCCATGCTAATGACTTGGAGAGTAACTGATCTATCCTAGGAAGCTAGGGTTCATTGGCGATGCCAACTTTGCACTGAGAAAGTGGCCTGATATATGGATCGCCCGGTCAAAGGAGAGTGTTCATGATTTGTATGACCCCGGCCCACTCTTCTACATCCCCTCTTCACAACACACTCCTGGGCGGTGAGTTTCTCCTGGAACAGCGAGGACTCGTCGGCCTGCCCCCCCCAAAAGATGTAAGTCACGTCCATGTTCTTCGGTCGCAGGCAACGCAGTGGCACCATATACCCAACAATTGGCAAGCGCCCAGCCCGCGCAGTGGGCACGCCATGGCCTGGAGCAGTGCTGCAGGAGGCCTGTATGTGTTTGGAGGAAGTGATGATATCGGCAGCAGCGTGGCTGCAAAGTGCAAGTTGGAGCGTGGGCCAACCGTATGGTGGTGGTCTGTGAGTTTGAAGAACTGAGGAGGAGCCGCCCATAATGACATATTCTTTTTGCCCGAGGCAGAAGGGAAGAGTTAATGGCGTGTTTGACAGCATCAGTTTCACATTTAAGTGTTGAAATTACACAGAGCTGTCACAACCTTCAAGGTTTGTCGCAATTGTGTAGACATCCGTTTGTCGAGTATGTAATGATAGAAGATGATAGCAGGGCATTTGAGCTCAATAATCCATCACATCCTTTTGTGATACCATGCAGCTGGACGACGAAGTGTGCGAAGAGCTTGCAAACCAGCTGCTGCATGTAACCTTAATGTTCTTGTGCATAAGGCATACCCTTGTGCGATGTCACTCGTCGTGTTTTGGGTTTGCGGCCAAGTAGCTGTGTCATACCTGGGCGTCTACTTGTGTGCCTCCAACATGCCCCTTGCTGCGAGGTCAATGTGACTGTTGCTGTTGCGCCTGTGGATGTGGGCCAAAAGGACATCATCGTGCCAGCTGTGGCCATTTCGTGTCTTTGTGTGAACTAAGCCAGTTTTGCAATGCGTGATTGTAGGTCTGAGTCAGGTGCTGTGAGAAAAGCCGCTTCTCAATGTCTAATACCTTCTTTCTAACGCAGACAGTTTGAATTGTTGAGGCAACAAGCTGCTGTTTTTTCGTTTGGTTCTCGTTTCCCGCGGGATGCCGCGTCCTCTGTGCGGCAGAAGTGGTGCGTTCTTCCTGTTGCTCACATTCTGCGCATTCTATAAGCGACAACTACGACTCAAGGACTCGTTTTGCCACGACTGGGTGGCAGTCTGGTAAGTTGAGAAGATTCGAAGGTTCCATCTATGTATTCAAACAACGGCAAACAGAGATATATTTTGTTGAGCTAACGTTCTTTATTTAAGAGACGAGATTCACCGCCGCAGCAGATCCAATGTTCATTCAACACTAGATGGCAACGGTTCCAAGTAAAAATACAGCCGCTCGGCTGGCACAAAAAGCCATTGTCCCCAACAGCTTGACTGGTCACTGGTCATTGATCTTCAACGTTTCCCAGGAGGCTGCTAGCAAGCTGAAGAAGGCGTGAGTTGACGCGATCGTGTGGAGTGTTCTTGATGCCATCTGCCAAATACGTCGTTAGGACTTGGAGCTGAACAACCCGTTGGCCATCAAGAACTTCTTCCTCTACTCTGTGTCTAAGCAAACCCCAGTGAACCTGGTAATCTTTCTTTGCGCGAAAGAACGCGGGCCAATTTGTATTGCGTACAAAGACGTGCTTTTTTCGGCTCGGCTTGGCACTTTGGGAGAGGTTATAGGCAGTGTCGGAGGAGGAATTTAAGGACGCCCCTGTGGGTAAAGGTTTCAAATGAACTCGTACTTCAGGCGGGAAGACAAAATTCTTACGGCTGCTCAAATCTCCGCTCAGGACGCTTGCTTGGTTCGCTTCGAGTGCCTGAAGGAGATCTATCAGAAGGGACAGGCGTGGCCTCGCCGACAAGAAGCTGATGGGATGACCGTGGGCGGCGCAACTGCTTTGGTGACGCGAAAGGAGCTGGAAGACGTCATGCGCCCATCTTGCAATGGGCGATGTGAGCGATTTTGACAGAATCCCAAAAAGGGTAGACCGAGGAGGGCTTTTTTGTGCCAAGAATGCTCTTCGCGTCCCAACTGCGTCTATAAAAAACTGCAGGTACGATGAGGACAGCCGCAAATTCTACCTTCCCAGCGAGGATGATGAGAGCTCAAAGCTAACGGAAGTTCATTTCTGCTCGGTGTCCCACTCATGGGAAGCTATGGAGCATCCTGATCCATGGCGCGATCAGCTGCGGGCTGAGTTGCACGTTGCAGTGGGGCCAAGATTGCTTATCAGTCGCAAGAAACCACGCAGAAGACCAGTGATGTAAGCTTTTCCTATGTATGAACTCTAGGCTCAGAGAGACTATAAACCGTTTGGACCATCTTCGCGGCCACGTATGGATATTCTATGACTATGCCAG